CTGATTCGGTCTTTCTCTGCTTTGGGGATCAAGCTGATGCTTGCTTCCGGGAATGAATTTGGCAGTATTGCTTCCCTTTCAAATTTCACTGAAGAGTTTAAATAGTAGTGGCAGTAGTTCCTCTTTAAATGTCTTATAGAATTCAGCAGTGAAGCCATTAGGGCTTGGGATTTTAGTTGATAACTTTTTAATTACGTTTTTAATTTTATTGATTGATATTGGGTTGTTTAGAACTTTTAGGTCCTCTTTGTTCAACTTCGTTAATTCATATGTATCTGTGAATCTGCCAATTTCTTCTGTATTTTTCATCTTACTGGCATATAGTTTCTTGAAGTAGGTATTGATGATTCTCTGCATTTCTGCTGGAAAATTCACCCATTTCATTCCTAATTGCATGGATTTGGCTTTTTCTTTTTGATAAGATTGGCTAAGGCTTTGTTAAACTTGTTTATTCTTTCAAAGAACCAACTCTTGGCTTCTTTGATTTTTTTTTTTTTTGTATCACTCTCTTAGTCTTTATTGCATTGAGTTCTGCTCTGATCTTTATAATTTCCTCCCTTGTTTGAGGTTTGTCCTGCTCTTCTTTTTCTAGAAACTTGAGGTTCAGCATCAGGTTAATTGTGCTCGCTCTCTTTTCCTAATATGCATATTCAGCTATGAATTTCCCTCATAAGACTGCTTTCATTGTGTCCCACAGATTCTGATATGTTGTATTGTAATTGTCATTTAACTGTAGAAATTGTTTGATTTCTTCTTTAATATCCTCTGTGACCCATTGGTTATTCAGAAGTGTGTTGTTCAATTTCCATATGTTTATGAAATTCTTGCTGGTTTTTTTTTTTGCTATTGATCTCCAATTCCATCACACTATGGTGTGATAATATACAGTGGATCACTTCAATTCCTTTGCACTTACTTAGATATGTTCTATGGTGAATGTGTGTGGTCTGTTTAGGAGAACAGCCCATGTGCAGCTGAAAGGAATGTGTATTCTGATTTTGTGGGGTGAAACACTCCATAAACATCTGTTAAGTTCATTTGTTCAAGAGTTTGATTGAGTTCTAGTATTTTCTTGTTTATCTGTCTAGTTGATCTATCTATTTGTGACAGTGGGGTATTGAGGTTCCTGATTACTATTGTGTTACTGCTTGTTTGATTTTTCATGTCCATTATTATTTGTTTTATATAGTTGGGAGCACCAGTGTTTGGTGCATATATATTTATGATTGTCATCTCTTCCTTTTGGATTGTTCCCTTTATAAGGATGTAGTGTCCTTCTTTGTCTCTCTTAATCATTGTTGGTTTGAAATCCACTTGATCTGCAAAAATGATAGCTATTCTTGCTTTTTTGGGGGTTCCTGTCAGATGGAGCGTTGTTTTCCACCCTTGAACTTTCATTCTTTGAGTTTCTTTTTCGATCAAGTGGGTTTCTTGTATGTAGCATATTGTTGGATCTTGCTTCTTGACCCATTCTGCCAGTCTGTTTCTTTGGATTGGTGAATTGAGACCATTAACATTGGTGGTTATAATTGATATGTATTGACTTATCCATGTCATGGCTTTTAATTTTTGTTGGATTCTCTCCCTTCCTGTTTAATTTATTGTCATGCCTGGTGGATTCATTCTTCTGGGCTTCCTGGGGTTGTGATCTTGGTTGTATTTTGTTTAAAGTTTTATGAAGTGCTGGTTTGGTATTCATGAGATTTCTAAGATGCTCTTTGTTATGAAAGTATTTTACCCGTTGGCCCTTTGTTCCTGGCGCTTTTTATTAGTGTGGTGCAAAGACCCCGCCCCCCCAGTTTGTTACATCCTGATTGGCTATTTCAGGCCCTAAGACAATTTAGATCTGGAAGTCTGGTTTGGGAACTTATTTACGTGTCTTCTCATTTCAATCCCAGCCTGCTGTGCCTTTGTTGAGGCAAATTTTTGCTCACCCAGTGGCCTTCAGTTTTCAGCAAGCCACTGAGTGGTCTTTGCTGCTCACCAGTACACCATTTCCTGGGTTCACAGTGGTGGCCTTCTGGGCCCCTGAGCTTATGTCTTGCCTGAGCAGGCTTCTGGCTGGGACCTGTGCACACTTGGGATGGTATCTAGGTGTGCCTCTTGCTGGGGCCTCTGTGTAGATGTTGTCTGGGGGGCCTTTCACTGGGGACTGTGCATCCCAGTTCCTGTTGTCTGAGCAGGCTTCTGGCTAGGGTCTCTGCGCACTTATTAATGGTATCGTATCGAGGCAAGCCTCTGGCTGTTGCTTGTATGCCTATGCAGTTCTTTGCCAGGTGGGCCCTCGGCTGTGGCCAATGCTATGGGGTGGTCCTCTGGCTGAAGCTTGTGTGCCTGTGCAGTTCTTTTCTGGGTGGGCCTTTGGCTTCGCCCAATGTGCAGAAGCCTCTGGGTTCGGGGAATCTGTGTGCACTCACTGGTGCTATGGGGCAGGCCTCTGGCTGAAGTTTGTGGGCTGGTGCAGCTCTTTTCTGGGTGGGCCTTTGGCTGGGCAGGTGTTCCTGAGCCTCTGGGTTTGGGGTGGAGCCCTGGCTGCGATCTGCCTGCAGCTGTGCCCCTCTGGACCACACCTTTGCTTCCCAGGATCTGCCTGTTGCAAATTCTTTTCGGCCTATATCTGTAACATCCTTCAGTGCATGTCTTCAGCCTTCCCTCTATTCTCGTCTCCCTCACCCCTTGGATTCTGACGTGGCCTTCACATTTGCCATCACTTTTGTGCTGATGGTGCCAAAATTGTGCTCCTGCCAAGGTGTCTAAACTAGGCCCCTTCCATATTTCTCCTAGGGTCTCTAGGATTTTCTACCTGAGGATTTCTTTGTTTTCTCAAAGTTACTGTGGTCCACTTGGAAACCACCATCTCTTCCTCACTTCTCTAACTTAGCTCCCTTTCCTAAGCAGTGTGAATTAGGCTGGGTGCTGGCTGCATGACTTTAAGCAAGGAATTTTAACATCTCTGTGTGTTGATCCACTTAACTATTTATAATGGACAGGGGATGTATCAGTTACTTTTCTGTCATTGCTGAGACAAAATACTAGACACCCAAAGTTAGAGGGGAGGGGGTTTATTTGGTTTACAGTTCATAGAGGTTCAGTCCATAAACTGCTGACTCCAAGGCAGGGAAGGCAAACGTGCATCACAGAGGAGACAACGTGGCACACACAAGATAGGGAAAACGACAAGAGAGTTTAACAGCGTCTTTCTGCGCCCCCCTTTAAAATTGAGTTTATTGGTACATTTAGGTATACAGTACAATTACATTCATTATTGGGATCTTGTACCTCTACATGTCAAGTCTTGGTTCTCATTTTTTCCCCTTGTCTGTGACCTCCCTTCACCCCCACTCCCCTCCCCATTTACAAACACTTCATTTCCATCTTTTCATTTTCTCATATTTTTTCCTTTTCCCTTATTACCTTTCCCCTATCCTTCCCATTTTCCCTACACCTTTAGCCCTTTCTGCCCCTTTTATCTTACTCAGACTACATTTAGGTATAGTACAATTACATTCATTATTGGGATCTTGTACCTCTACATGTCAAGTCTTGGTTCTCATTTTTTCCCCTTGTCTGTGACCTCCCTTCACCCCCACTCCCCTCCCCATTTACAAACACTTCATTTCCATCTTTTCATTTTCTCATATTTTTTCCTTTTCCCTTATTACCTTTCCCCTATCCTTCCCATTTTCCCTACACCTTTAGCCCTTTCTGCCCCTTTTATCTTACTCAGACTACTGGGATTAGGGCAGTGCCAAACTAATCACTCATATGTAGTGGTTTAGTAATCACACTCCCTTAACCCCAGTATCACACATTCCAGATGACTACCTTTGAAAAAAGAAAGTCCCACCTCATCTACATGAGGCTTTGGGGGGACATCTAACACAAATCATAACAGGTGATAATAGTTTCTTCCTCATAAACTTATTGGGAGGATGAAATGAGGCAATCTACACAGAGAGTTTGGTGCAGTGCCTAGTATACAGTAAGCTCAGAGCAGCTCAAAGGCACCTGAACACTTGCCTATGTGGTTCCCTCTGTGAGAGTTCTTTCTACTTCCTATTCACCTGGTTGCTTTCTCAGACAAATTGGCCCTAAACCTAATTTTTTAGCTGAGTTCAATGCTGACTCCTCTTCAGACCTTATCCTCCTTCATTCTCATTGGTGACTTGCTAGTGCTTTCTACCCACTAGACTTTAAATTCCCTGAAGTCCAAGGATTCTGAGATGTTCGCCCTTTTGTCCCCAGGACAGTACAATTCATAGCACAGGCTGGTGCCTAGTATATGTCTCTCCAATAAATGAATGACATAGCTTGGAATAATAGAGTATAATAAATAATTGTATGATCTGCAGGCCACACTGTGTGTTTATTAGCACTCTATAAATTCTGATGTTGAACCAAATTAAATAAACTAGCTGTACTTAACATTGTATAGCTTCCTGAGTACTTTGGCTTAATTTATCTTAATAAGTTCTATTATTATGTTGCTGAGAGCTTGTCAATGGAAATGTTATACCCACTTTTAGGTGAGAAAAATTGACTTCCCTAAGATGAAATGCAAACTTCCCAGTACTTTTTAGCTACCTCTTTGTGGTCCTACCTGCTCCTTTAATTTCTAGAATTGTCAGGACTACTTGAATGTCCAGAGCACAATTCTGTATCTCTGCAAAACACGTTGTTGGGAAATATTTTTAAAGGGCCAGATAATAAATATTTTAGGTTTTGCAGGCAGTATAGTCATAGCTGCTTAGCTTAGCCATGATAGCACAAAGTCATCCATAAATAATGTATAAATGAACTGGCATGGCTGTGTTCCAATTAAACTTTAATTACAAAAACAGACGGCCGGCCCAAGGGCTGTACTCTGCCTCTCTGCCTTATGTGACCCTAGTTCCATTTGGGAGTCAGGAAACACACTTTCCCCTAGCTGGACTGTTGGGGAGTGTTTTGCTTTGGAGCTATTAGAAGTGCTTCTGATAACAAGTGCTTTTCATTTCCAGATCCTGTCTCAGAAAGAAGAGTGGGTGAGGACTCATCACCAACCCAGGAAAAACACACATCACCCAGCAGAACTGCTGAAAAAAGAGCAAAAGATGACAATAGGCGGGTGGTTAGAAGCACACAGGACCTAAGCGATGTGTCCATGGATGAAGTGGGCATTCCACTCCGGGTATGACTGCCGACATAGAAGGCCCTTACATCAGTTAAACAAGTCATGACAAGGGCTCAACTCTAAGTGCATGTGAATCCCATCAGTGGGTTGTAGAGGCCTGGGAGAGTGGTCCTTGCACAGGCACAGACCCTAAGTACCAGACCCCCCAAGAAGCTGTGTTCCAGGTTTGGCAGACAGCAGCTTTTTCCCGAGTGGGTGTGTGGTGTTAGTCTCATGGAAAGATAAACTTCATGGTGAAATGGAAAGGAAGAATATCTGAGTGGAAGAGAGTTAAGAAATTTCTCTGCAGCAGAATGTCTGAGATACTCTGGGCTTGTGCATGTTCAGGGGAGAATGCCCTGGAAGGTCTTTGTTTTGTGGAGCCTGTTCATAAATTCTTACACCAGAGCTAGAGCAGCCTGGGGAGTGTGAGGTCCAGGGTCCTTGTTTATGGGTTTAGGAAAAAGATACCCCTGGATAGGAACTACCTCATCGTTCAAGATGACAGGAAATACTAGGGGAACGACAGAAAGGATTTGGCCCACCCAAGGCTATAGGATAGAGCAGGTCTCATGGCAGCCATACCCTGCTCTTTCTGCTGGTTAGGCATGCCAGTCCTTTACAACCCAAGGAATGCAGGACAACCCACCTTTTGAAACTAGACTCAACTGAATTGTCGTTCAGCCTGGGGAGTGTGAGGTCCAGGGTCCTTGTTTTTTGTGTCTTTTTGGAAGAGGCCAAAAGAAACTTCCATGAGCTAAGATTCAATAGAACTCTACCCTGGTCCTAAGTAATGATATGGAAAACAAATTATTACCAAGGCAATCACAGCTATGATTTGCTGAGTGCATTATCTCATTTAGGCCTCATTTCCTGGAGTGAGTAGTAGATACTAAAATTGTTACAACTTCATAGATGACTGTATTAGTCCGTTTTGCATTACTATAATGAAATAATAAACTTACAAAGAGAGGTTTACTTTGGCTTGTGGTTCTGGAGGTTCAAGACAAAAATTGAGTGGCTTCCTTGATTGGGGCTCTGGTGAGGGTGGCACATCATGGCAGAAGGGTGTTCTCTCATTATGAGTTGGGAAACAGAAAGGACGTGTGGGGTCCTCCTATTCTTTTTGAAGATGTGTCTCCAAAGACTTAAGGACTTCCCACTAGCCCCCACCTTCTAAAAGTCCACAGAACCTCCCGATACTGCCACCCCAGAAACCAGACCTTTAAATATGGATGTCTGGGGAACATTCTTCCAAACCATACCAGTGAGGAAACAGACTCTGAGGGATTACATTAATCTCGCCAAATGGTACAACTTTGGGTGATGGTGTTCTGACAACCCTAACTATCATATGAGGGCCCCTTCCAATCACTTTTGCTCCATCTCTGTGACCTTGGGAAATTCACTTTGACATTTCCTATCTCTTATCCACGTCTGCAAAGTAGGAGTGAAAATAGTTAATCTAACCACCCGTCTGTCACCTTCTTTATTTTTTTTATCTTAAAAATAAAGAGGAAGAAAACCTCCCATCTTTGTTGTAAGGATGAAACTCTGGCATTGGATAGTACAATGGGTTACATTTTAATGTATGCATTCTGAATCTGGCCTATGCAGTGTGACTTACATACATGTCTACAGCATAACCCAGAATGGTGGGGGCCCAGTGTGTTAAGCAGGTATTCTTTGCTTTGTGCATCTCATTGTCTTTACTTCAAATTTGTGTAGTCTGCCTATGGGAGAAATTCTCTCTAAAAAAGAAATTAAAAAAATTAATAAAAGACATAATTCAAGTCTGTCCTTGCCTATTTTTCTTCAAGAAATGTGTCTTTTTGGCCAGATGTAAATTTTGACTCTTTGTTCTTTCTCCAAATTGTTATCTTTAACAAATGTGGCTGAGTTTTCACTTAAAATGTTGTAATTTCCATGTTTGATTTTGATGTTGTAGTCATAGAAATTCTGAAATATGCTAAAATCTTCATTTCATTTTACCTTTTTTTCCCCAGAATACTGAGAGATCAAAAGACTGGTACAAGACCATGTTTAGACAGATCCACAGACTGAACAGAGGTACTGATTTTCACTTGTCAAAGCTAAGTGCCTGTATATTGACTGTTGGTGTGGGCCTGAAGTCATTTTGTTTAGACTCTAGGAGACAGGGTCCTGCAGTTGGATCCCATTAGGTACTGATCTGCTTGAACCCTGCCATGTGCCTTCAGACCCAGAGTGGTGATGCACCTGTGTGTCTGCCTCTGCTTTGTAACTGGAGATCAGCTCACAAGTCTTCCCTCCCAGCTTTTGCAAAATGCAGTAGGCTGAGCCAAACACTCTTACCTATACTTTAGTATCTGTATCTGCCTGAGCAGCTCTATCTCCCACCTGCTTTCAGCTTTAGGTTTATCCTGTGTCAGCCCATGACTTCCTTGTGAGCCAAGCAAGTTGAGAAAGCCCTGAGCTGGAAGTCAAGAAAACTGTTTTCACATAAATTCGTTCCCTGCCAAGTACTCATATGACCTTGGGCCAGTCATGCATCTTTCTGTTTACCTTCCTTCCCTTCATCCAAAGGTTGTTGCAGAGTCCATATGAGTACGCACTTGGCCTTGTGAAATAGAGTGCATAGTACAGATTATGTTCATATGGAAACTAATTTTACCCCCTGGGAAGTAGCACTTAGCAAATAGCCCCCAGAATCAGTCAAGAGCTGACACAGTAGACCCTGCTCAAATTGAAAGAGGGTTGCTTCCAGATTAGAGAGCTGCTGGGCTGTCAGCAGGTGGCCCAGCATGGAGCAGGTCACAACCTCACCAGCTCTCATTGCTACCTATGCTGTCATTTAGCTGGTAGGTAGGAATGTTGCTACACTGTGGGACGGGTACCACTTCTGCAGGCAAAGCATCCTATCCTTTCCTGTGCCCAAATCCAGTCTGGCTGCCTGGCATGGATGACACATGAAGGTAAAGAGAGTTTGTTCCAGTCAGTGTTCCCACCTAAATCACAAATATCCAATCTCTCTGATCAGATGCAGGTGCCATCTAATATCACTGCTAATTAGCTCCTGCTGGGTTCAAAATGAGTTGGAGTGTGTCCCTCTTCAAACTACTACTAAATATTGAAATGCTTGGTATTTAGCATTTCTGAGGCAAGAGTAAATCTGTTACAGTTGTGTGGATGAGCTCAGTCATGATGGTGATGCTAAATTCTGGATCTCTGTGATTGAATTGGGGCAGTTCTGCCAATCACTTCCTAAAGTGACTGTGTTTTCTCTAGTGATCTGTGCTTCTTTCACCTTCAGATTTAGCTTTAGAAGGCTAAATGCATATGTGCACAACATTTTTTTTTGGCTTTGGAAGGCTAAATGCACAAGTGCATGCATATGTGCAAAATAGGTAATTCTGCCCCACCAGCAGAATTATACTTATTAACACAATTAATTACAGATTCTAAACAAAACTACCTACCCTAATGGGAGGCAGTAGTATTTGAGAAGTTAAGACTCCACTTGTTCGCTTGATTCTAACATCCACAACACAAGCTTTGATTGAAAAAAAAATATTTTAGGATAGTGTTTTCATCACATAGTGCTTATTATCCTACTTTAAGTTCTAGCCTATAAAAAGTGAAAACCTGAAAGTTTGTGCCCATTCTGGAGCCTATTTATATTTAATTCTTTGTCCAAGAAAAGTAATGATGTTGTCTCTTTCGATGTGTCTCAGTTATTCAGGCAAAAGGACTGGATTTTTTAAAAGCAATTTGAATTACTTTCATATCTAGTGAAGCTTACTATGTTCCAGAATTCAAGGAGTCTAAATTGTATGTGGAATCCTTCTCGTTCATTTTCTCCATTTGTATCTTCCTCTATTCTCTCTTCCAAACCTGCTCCTCTGCCTAGACACTCCTGAAGAAAACCCTTATTTCCCTACGTACAAATTCCCTGAACTTCCTGAAATCCAGCAAAATTCTGAAGGTACCATAAATTTAGACAGTATATCTGTTGTCCTAGCCTTAAATTAGTTCTTAGAGTTCCATTATAGGCATAAGATTTGGCTTTTAACTTTTTATGTAGTTGTTTTTGGATAGTGAACATTTTATTTCTTTCCTGTGCATGATGTGCTATATTAAAACAACTAAGTCCTTTCTAATTTATTAATCTGTTTTTGAGTGTGATGCCTGTGTGCTTTAATAACACTAAAATAGGTAATCATTCAAAAGAGTCGACTGGGAATTGCCAGGTCCTCCACTTCATGGTGGGTAGTTTCAAAATCCACTACTTTTCTCTGCTACAGAGGACAATCCTTATACTCCTACATACCAGTTTCCTGCATCTACACCTAGTCCTAAATCTGAAGGTAATTAAAGGAAAATTTTGTGCCTCCTTTTATACCGGTGCTGTTATTTTCATTTTTATCTTGGGGTTTTTCTGGTGGCTGAAGGCTGTCTCCCATTTATTTGCTTCCCTCTAATCTTGTGTTTTGTGGTGTTGTCTCACTTCTTGCTGGCTGTATCCCTAGAGTCTATCCAGATGGTATTTTAATTTTGTTCCCTGAGAGTTTGCATTATTAATGGCTTAGTTATAGCTTAGTTATAATGATTTGAAAGCTGCTTGTCCTATATCCAGGGCCTGGTATCTGGGGTGGTCCCCTGGGTTGGTGGCTGGACAGTGACTTGGCAACACAGTCATTAATATGGATGGGTTGGGGTGGACCTGGCAGCTCTCAACAATAGAAACATTCCTATGTGTGCAGTTGACTTGTTACCATTCCCTCTTGTCATAGGCGCTTAGGTTGTCTCTCTTTGGTTAGGAATTCCCAAAGAGGTAAAAGACTCAGTAATGGTAGGAAATTATATCTCTTGAAACTAAGGATTTGGGAAAACTGGAAAACGTGTCATCAAAGAGCTGGGTAGGGATTTTTCCTGGTTGAGAGAATAGCCATGTCTGTATTGAACAGGTATTTTTTTCTGGGGCAAAAAGGCCAGGTGTCCAAAAAGCTTCTGAAAAGTTAGGTAGCAGTATCTTGAGAATGATCACTGTAACAGAGATTGTCTGAGTTTTGGTTGAGTGAACCAGAAAAAAGGGGGTGGCAGAATATAGAGAAGGAAATTCTGTTAAATGTTCTAGGATCACAGTTGAGTACTCTTACGTTCATTCAGTAGTGAGGAGCACTTGCTGTATGCCATGTACTGTCCCTGACAGTGCCCTAAATAGGAAATATACTCTGTCCTCAAAAATGCACATCTGCAGGTTGTTGGACAAGGCCATTTCAGCCTTGTCCTTCCTCCCTTATATAAGATACAAGGGCGCTTGGAAAGCATAGGTCCAGAAGGCCACAGAAAACCTTGCGGGCACACAGTAGGTACTTAGTAATACTTTAGGTATGTAATGAGTGAAACTTTGGTTCTCTTTCGGAACCCCAGTGCCGCCATCTCAGTGCTCCTCTGCTCTACTCAGTTCAGCCAGCCGTTACTGTGGCCCTCTCATCACTGATAAAGTCATTCACTAGACTGTTTCCGACCACTTACCTTGTTATGAGGTGGCACAATGAGATAGGTTAGAGCCAGGATTAGTTAAAATACCATTGTCTATTTCTGATCTGTCTCATACGTCCTGGTCAGTGGTTCCAACCATACCTGGGACCTATTTTGAATGAAAAGTCTACCAGATGAACCCAGACTTAGAAAACTAAATGCCGTTAACTTAATTGTGATCCGTGACTTCTTTACCACCAACAGGAATTTATCTAGTCTTTCTGTCTCAAGGGTGCTGACTTAAGCCAAAAGCACTGCTGAAGAAACAGCTGAATTGGGTGAGGGAGTTTTTTTAGGGTAATTGGATTAATTGCAATAAATGATTTGTGCTTCGTCTGGACTTACAAACCCAAACTGCTCATAAGATAGGTGTCGTCTCCCATGGACACCAGCAGAGGCAGGACCTCTTGGAGAGGTCCTGTGGAGAGGAACTGTGGCTCTCATCAGACTGGAAGATTGCCTCAAACTTGTCACAGGCAGCACCCATGGTTTCCTTCATCAAATTGGCTGTGCGTCTCGAGACAGGATTTCATGGTCTCTTACCCAGAGCTCCCGTCTCTTCAGCCACCACAGTTAGCAGTCCTGGCTGATGATAATCACTGCTTCTTGGTACAAGTCAATTCTGGCACAGGAGGAAAGTGAGGTTATTTTTCCTCGAGGCATAAACAGTAAAGAATGATGTGGCAATTTATCATATGTATTTAAAAGCAGAGGTTACTGTATTTTTTATTTTCAAAAACCAAAAAATGAGAAATGGCCTTAAGAAAGAAAAAGTAAAAAATTAGGTTGAACATAAAAAATTCATACTAACAAAGATGATTATACTTTAACACAAGTTTCTAAGAAGTTGTCTTCCCTGGAGATCTTTAAAAATAGAATAGATTCCATCTTACGCCCCCATCTGATGACATATCCAGGCATAGATCACTCATGTGCTCAGTTAGACAGAGCCCTTTTACAAATGAGGGAAACATTGGCGCTAGATGATTGTAAAAAAAACTGTTGGGTTTTTACTTCTTTCTCTTTTAAATTTCACAAGATTCTGGACTTCCAGATCTATGGTTTATGGTTTTGATGTTGTCTGTGAGCTCCAACTGAGCCCCTTAACCCTGCCTGTGGTGCTGATCCTGCTAGGTAGCCCTGGGCTCTATATAATTCACATCCCTTTTTTTTTGTGTGTGTGTGTGGAATTGACCCCAGGATCTTTGCACTGAGCTATATAACCTCCAGCTTTTTTTTTTTTTTTTAGCTAAAGCCTAAGTCACTAAGTTGCCCCAGACTGGGCCTCTCAGAGTGCTGGGATTGTAGGCATGTGCCACCACATTTAGCTCTGTGTACTCCGTTTCTGACACAGGAAAGATTTTATGCCTTTCAAAGAAAGGTATTAAAGACACATTAATTTTAATATGCTTTAAGAAATAGCTTTACTAAGAAATGGGAGGGCCAGGGATATAGCGGAGAGGCACAGTGCCTGCCTGGCAAGCGCAAGGTCCTCAGTCCGTACCAAAAACAAAGAAAAACAAACAAACAAAAAAGTAAAGAGAGGAGAAGAGAAAGGAGGGGAGAGAAGAAGAAAAGAAAGAAATGGGAGGCCTTTAGTAGTTCAGAGTCTGTCTCTGGGGGAGAAACCTGTTGCCACTGTTGTTTTGTTTAATTCAGTCTGGAACTAGAATTTTCTCTAATCACCCTACCAAAGCTTAGCCTGAGGGCTACTGCCTCTCTCTAAATTCTGGTTGTTGATACAGTTTAGAAAAGACTCTTCTAAATATCTCAAAACTGACTCTCATCAAACAGCCAGGACCATGTGAAAGTTTGTTTATGCTGGCTTAACAACCTTCCTTTCTCCCACTTATAGCGAACAAGTAAATTTCTAGCCAGATCTTTGGGAGATAAACAGAATGATCATGTTTTAATCAGTGTAGTTTAAAATTACTTTAAAAAATAAACCTCTGTAAATTACAGCAAAGAGAAATTCCTTCTAATAATTTTATGATTGTGGAGACTACTCTGTTACAAACGCTTGTCCTTTGTTTAATAGACTGGAGGAAGGACTAGCTGTGCAGAAGTAGAAGCTTCAGAAACATATCCTTCTTCTCTTCCTTCCCTGCCTGCCTTCGGTGTGAGGACAGCAGTGTAGTGGCAGCCCCTGCAGGGCTCGCAGTCATTCTCTTGTTGATGGTAATGATTTTAACCACCACTGTGATGACTATGTCACTACTGTTTATTGAGCCTTACCTTATGCAGTATAAACCTCTGGGCCATCACTGTTGCTATCTTGTCTTTGTATACTTCCAGCTATCCCTTGAGGTAACTTTTCATATCGTCAGTGTAGAGTAGAGGCTCAGGGAGATTAAGCAATATATGCAAGATCACACAGTAAGTGATAGAACCAGGACTCAGACCCAGGGTATGGGGACCCCAAACATGGATTTTTACTTACTTTGCTGCACTGCTCTGCTGATTCCTTTCTCTCTCCTCATACACTATATGCTTTTGGTTGTCTCCTTCTTTCCAAAGACTCTTTGACACTTCACCGGAGGCATCTGATTTCCCAAGTCAGTCCTGCCTCAGGCTGCAAATGTCTCCTGGGATAGTGTCTGGGAACATGAAGTTAGAAAAGCTCCCTGAGTAATTGGGACGCATGGCTATGATTTAGAACTTCTAGAAAGGAAGAATGTTCCTCTTCCTCAGCCCCTAAAGAGTTGAAGATACTTGCCTAGATACAGTTTTGGGAATGTGGGTATAGGATTAGATTTGAGGAATGCAGGTTAAAAAGAGCTAGTCTTTCCACTCTGGATATGCCCAAATGATGTTGGCTCACTTGGCACATTTGATTTCAAGAAAACAATTTCATTTCCACATGATGCCTCAGAATCTGCAGCAAATCCAGGTAACTGATACGGTACTTCATGATCTGTGGCCAATGAGAACCCCTTGGACGACATCAGAATGAAAGCCTGCCACGCAGAGGAAAAGTTCTAGAGACCACCTTTCCCCCTGCCCCTCAAAACGTCATCTCTGGACATGACCAGGATGTGTGTGGTGGTCTGTCTCATTATGGTCTTTCCTCACGCCTAGATGAGTTTGCACTAAGACAAAGATTTAAGGAGGCTAAATTTCTGTAGTCAAGTTAAAATAATCCTCTATTAGCCTTGCAAGATTTCTAAAAATAGCCTTATTTTGCTTGAGTTCAAGCAAATCATTCTATTGTGAGGAAGTCTGGCCAAGATTTGTGTCTCCTGACTCAAATTTTGGTTAGTACCGCCCAGAGGAGGGGCTGAGCAGTTTGGAGCAGTCACCTTTGCTCTCCTTATGAGAGCTGCCCAGATGGTCTCCATCTAGCAAGTGCAGAAGTCTTTGGTCTGTAGGGTAGCTAAGAAACAAAAGCTACTACCTTTCCACCTTCAGGATCCAGGAATCTGATAGCAGTTAAAATGGTAAGTCTCTTTCCAGCCCAGGAGTCCTCCCAGACTTTCTCTTCTGACTTTTTCTGATCTACCACATCTCATCCTCAGAATTCTATTTTTTTCTGAATATGTCATTTGCAGCTACTCTACACTCTACCCTGGTCTTTTTCTCATCCCTTAAAGTCTTTAATTATCTTTAAGGTTAATTTCCATTAATGAAAAAAACAGTTTTGTGGCTCTACAAGATCCCAGACTTCCTGGTTTTCTTGCTCCTTCTTGCTTGCCTCTTTTGCTTACTTTTCCTCTCTCTCATCCCATATTTGTGTACCTATGTCTAAATACAACTCTTTTTCCTTGACTGCTTTTGTTCTGGATTTGTGTACATGTCTGTTTTTTTCATTTTTTTCCCTTACTTTTCCTAAATATATGGAGTAAAGCCTGAGAATTACGCTGAGCATGGACGAAGATTGTGTTAAAAATGAACCAATAAAGCTGAGTGAGATGGCACACAACTGTAGCCCCAGCTACTTAGGAGTCCGAGGCTAAAGGAACAGTTGAGCAAAGGAGTTCAAGAGACCAGGCTGGCAACAAAATGAGACCCCATATCCAAAAAAAAAAAAAGTTGGGGGGCAGGGGAGGAGTTGAAGTTGTAGCTCACTGGTGGTAGAGCGTGTGCTTAACATGCATAGAGACTCTGGGTTCAATCCCTGGCACCAAATATTAGAAAAAAATTTAGGTTTGAAGACCTAAGAAGGGCACAGAGTAGAAATCAGATGATATAGGCAGTAGTTGTGCAAATTCTAACTTTTTTTGCATGCCATTTTGGTCAATTACATAGTATTTTTGTCACCAGCATTTTCTTCACTTATCTTTAAGATTTTTTATTAATTCTAAACACATAAACAATAGCAACAAAACCCACAATTGACCCAAAGAAAGCCATTTAGAGGCTCAGTTAAAGTTTCTGTGGTTGAAAAGGCAACCGTGTAGCTCCTGGCAGTTTTAGGGGGTTGGCTGTCTCCAAATTGGGTTAGTAAGGACAGATTGCCAAAGCCTGTGGGAAAAATCATTGATGTGTGAACATCAGAGCACATCAGAGGCCTTCAGGACCCTGAAGTAAGTTGTTCACCTTGTGTGAATCCTGTGTGGTGTCCACACTTCTCCGAATCACTGTCAGAGGAAATCTGGAATGCTGTTGTGAGGGTTTGATGTCTGCTGCTTGGTTCCCTGAGGAGCACAAATAGCATGTGGCTCTAACAGGAGGGATCACAGCTTTCCAGAGCAACTGAGTCTGCTGTGGCCTTGTGGAAAGAATTCTTGGAGAAATGCGGGCAGACTTTCTGATGTTAGTTTGTAGACAACTGGAGAAATGTTTCACCTATTGTCTCAGCTATAGTTGATCTCTCTCTGTCTCTCTTTATCTCTTGGCTATATCTTGTGTATAGAAATCAAGTGAGTGTTCCTTATACTCAACCTGCCCACTCCTTGGTATTTTTCACTGCATACCCATTTTTCCCAGTGTAGTTGTAGCATACTCGGAGACGGTTTCCAAAAGCAGAAAATGGGAGATGTAGCAAAAGTGACTCGTTGTTACCCATTGTCACTGGAGACCAGCAAGAGGAGAACTAAGAGTTTGAAGGTGTAAACTCATAAAAATTACTTACGCATCACCCATGGTGGGATGATATAGAAAAATAGGCTGAAATCATCAGGGTATAGAGATTGGCCTGGCCAACTGTGCACTAGAGTTTCAGGATGACACCTTTTCCCTGCTTCTTCCATAATAAAAATAATAATGGAATTGTCTTTCACTTTTCCCAGGATTGGGCACATGAAACAGGTGAAAGAATAAAAGCAGTTGTTTCTGTCATAGCACTAAAAACAGCACAGGAAATAGAATCAGAAAGATCATGAATCCATTTCTGCTTTGTGTCTTTCTTTTTGTTCATCTGAGGGCAAAATTTCTAACTCTCCATGGGCATTGATCTCCTTATTTGTAAAACTCCTTTAGGAGTTTTTAAAAGGTTTGAGTAAGATGATATTAGTTAATTCTAGCTGTTATTAAAAACAGGAGCACTTAATGAGAGCTATTACTATTTATTCATTAGGTAAAGTAAAATTTCCTTCCACTAGATTTATAAGACAGATATCAAAAATTAAAAGAATAAATTAACATCTCTTGCAACTTTTCTAATTGCTAAAGTTGTTCAGATGAGTCTGTTGAACTTTAGTTTGTCCTCTTAAAAGTCCATGGACTAAAATCTGCGTTAGATCCCAGGGACACTATGTGAAATGAAAACCCTGTTGCAGAGACCCCTGCCCTGTGTTAGGCTTGAGTGGGTAAGATTTCTTTTTCTACCTACAACCAGATAAAAAAAAATCATTTTGCGAGCATTCAGTTTGTTGACCTCTTTCTCAGCTTTCCTACTTCTGATTTTTCAAAGCACATATATTTTGAAACTCCTCAAGCAGGGCTATTTTTCCATCTTATAACTTCTAGCTTCATGGACCAACTAATAGTTATAAATTAACCTTCACCTTACCACAAACTGATAGAATAATTTTTCCTCAATTCAAAGCAGTACAAGGTTTTGAGCTAAAATACTAGGCTGGATTTAAAATAGTAATGTATTATTTTCTAACCAAGCTAACTTTTCATTTGGAATAGACACCATTTTTTTCTAGTCAAGTACCCACAATCAAAACTGACTTAGTTTTGTGGTTTTTTTTTTAATATCATGTCATTTTATGAGTATAATAATCACAAGTCCTGTTCAAAAACAATGGCTGCAACAAAAATTAGCAACACAAAATTTTTCAGAATAGTCTTTACAAAAATATATTTCTGGACCCCATTTTATCCTTTCCCTGCTCTATTTTCATAAGTTAATGTAAAAAAATTTGCACATTCAGTTTACAATAGTGAAAGGCTTAGCTGTGTTGGTAAGGAATACTAAAGCCTTGTCCAACATTGATGTTAACTAATTCTTATCCTTAAAGTAAAAGGAAGGAACAGGAGGAAGAGGGAGGTAAAAAGATACTTGGAATCTGATGCCTGTCCCTTCTGTTGGCTGAGGGAGACCTGGGACAGATAAAAGTGAGGAGAGGAGAGGGGATAAAAAGGGAGATAGAGAGGCTGTCTTTGAATACCACTTTACTCAAAATAATAGCAATGTTAGCTTTACATTTCATAAAATACTCTGAAACTTAAAATGATTTGCATAGAAACAAGGAGTTGATAGCACTTTGTCATTTATATAGCATATTAGATTCTGTGACTTGTCTTTGCAGGTGGATCCTGTGGTTTGCTAAAATTGTTACAGATTTTAAAAGAAGGAATTGAATCTTCATTCCATGAGCATTATTGCTGAATTTGGAGAACCAAGATATCAGATAATGGGAAAATCTGTTTTACACTCTTTTTGGAGTAATGCTTTGGAAGGATTTTCAAGGATACAGTGACTAAATTTCTGCATTTTTAGAACAGATCCATTTTAGACGTCTGTTCTCATATGACTATGGTCTAATTTTTTAGTTTAAAAAAATACAGCTGCTTCCATGAAAGGTTCAGATCTTGTTTCCCTTCAGCAAGTTTTAGAGCCCCAGTGTTCATCTTACTTAGGCATGAGTGGTACAAAATTGAAAAGCCTTCTCACACCATAGAGACTCACGTGAGTTTGATTTGTTCTGGCGTCACAATTGAGATACTTGCCCCAAGCAGTCCCTTTGCAGAGCAGATGGTAAAACCACATCACCCACTTGTGAAGCCAGGTTGAGATGGAATCAAAACAAATTATAATGCAGATTTTCTCAGTCTCTCTCTATAGCTACAAAACCTTTTTATTAATGATGTTGTTTCTGGAAGCGTAACGTGTAAAACAAAGGTCAAAGCTAAGGAGGGTAGCTAGTAACCACAACCTCTAGGTCCCTCTTCCCATCTACTCGTATTCTCAAAAGGCCCAGGAATGAGGCCTATTGGGACTCCATGGGACTCATCAGGCAAGGCCAGAGACTGAGTGTGAGCAACTACTCAGCCAGACTAGGGATTCTGCCTTGTAGCTTTGCTGGTAGAGATTCTCTTATGGAGGATCTTCAGCCGTTTGATCCCATTTATTTCCCAATGATAAGCAGCAGTCACCAACCATGCACTGTGAATGCCCTGTCTGGACAGCTGGTCTTGTTGGGTTAGGTGGACTCTGCAAAGCTTACTCCTCTCCGTTGTGGTCTGCTGTGGTGTATAGCTTCCAGCGTTTGATTCTTCCTTTTTCCACTGGGTTCCTTGGTGTGTCTGGATGCCTGGATGCGGTACAAGACTGTGGAAGTGGGAACCATATACTTTGCTTCTCCTTCTATAGCCCATTGTTTCTAATTATATATTTTTTTGTTCACTAGATGATGATTCAGATCTGTACTCTCCTCGATATTCCTTTTCTGAAGGTAAGTGACTGAGTTTCCTGATTGTGGGGGAGAAAGGGAAGATTATGGATGAGTGAACATCTCTTTTGGCTTTTGTTTTCACTGATTTTAAAAGTCTTTTGTATGCACTTTCTTTCTCCAGCAAAATCTCCCCTTTCTGTGCCTCGCTCAAAAAGTGAGATGAGCTACATTGATGGTGAGAAGGTAGTTAAGAGGTCGGCCACGCTCCCCCTCCCAGCTCGTTCCTCCTCACTAAAATCCAGCCCAGAAAGGTGAGCACTTCCTTGTCCCTTGTCCGTCATTGGCAGCCAGTGCCTCGGCAACCTTTATTGAGACCTCTTAGAAATTGGGAAATTTAGAATTTGAATCCCTGCTCTGTCACCCATCAGCAGTGGCTTATTCTTTCCGGGTCTCAATGTCCTTATCTGAAGATGGGGATGATCATAACAGTGTGAGTTTATGTTAGGAATATTGCGAGAATAAAATCAGATAGTGCATGTTAACATTCCTAGTGTGCCTGGCTTATTGTGTGGGCTTAATTGATGTTAACTGTAATTATCAATTTCTGCTTTTCCACAAGAAAAATCTCAACTACAAGATTTGTCATGTATTTTCATATTCTATGCACATACTAAATCTGTGTTTATATATTCATAGTAAAGGATATAATTTTAAAATAAAGCCATACTTCTTAATGTCAGTATACTGATATACCTGTATCACTGAGTTATAACACTTGGACTTCTTCTAATGACAACATTAGTTTTGTCTTAATTCCTGTACAGAACCACCCAGTTTTCTTTCATTGCATTATTGTCTATAAAAATGCCCTGTGGAACAACTGCACCACATCATCTGGACAAGTGTCCCATGCGTTTTCCATACCCAACCAATATCTATACATAAAAGACTTGACTATTTCTTTAAATATACATCCAGTTTCAAAACGCCTTCAAAAAGCCCTATATATATCAAAGTGGCATCTATGTTAGAAATGGGATAATTGATTGGAAAGGAAGGTTGGATGTACTCAGAAATCCTTTGTGGGAGCATTTGTTAGGAACCTCATGAGTACATTTTATGCAGATTGAACCAGATGTTACAAAGAATATAAGTATATGCAAATCATTGTCCTGCTGTCAAGAAATTTTTAGCCTTACCTCAAAATTGAAATATAAAGTGAAATATAAAGTGTAGTAATATACATGTATAAACTTTCTGCAGACAATTTCCAAGAATTCATCTTCTGAAACCCATTTCTTGATGCCAGCTTAAGAATCTGGGCCAAAGACCGAGCAGGGTAGGATGTGGAATAGGGAAGAACATGGTTATAATAACAATAGTGCTTATTAAATAGTTGCCAAAAGCCTGGTGCTCTAGTTAATGGTTGACATGTACTGTGTCATTTAATCTATATAGCACTTCCCACTTTTCAGATGAGGGAATTCAGAATGCAAGAGGTAAAGTGCTTATTTAAGATCACCTGACTAGCACATGGTATAGCAGGGATTTGAACCACAGTTGCCTGGCTCTAGGACCTGAATTCTTTCTCTGCACTAGCATGAGTAGGAGGTACAGACCTGTTTGGGGAAAGATAAACTCATGAGAGCAAAGCAAAGTGAAAGAGTTTCCCAGGGCAAGCTTTGCTTCTGTTCTTTGCTTCTTCTTTCTCTTTTTCTCTCTACTTCCTGAGGCCTGGCTTTGAGCATAGGATACCTCAAACCCTTTGTAAAGTGCGAAAGAAATTTAATTGATTGTTTTGGGAAGCAAGCCTGCACAACTGAATTGTTCACCCTTGACTCTGATTTTACACTTTGGATATAAAAATTCCTTGATTAGGCTACAGCCAACCAAAGTCAGGCCATGGGAGAAGCTGAGGCCAGTTTTTATGTAAATAGCTCTAATAAGATTTTCTTTCTACAGAAATGACTGGGAGCCCCCAGATAAGAAAGTGGATACCAGAAAATACCGGGCAGAGCCCAAAAGCATTTATGAATATCAGCCGGGCAAGTCTTCTGTTCTGAACAATGAAAAGATGGTAATGTGCATATGAAAGTTCTTTTGCTTCTCTCTTCCCATGTTCTTTAATCTGGTGCATTGTGCAGCTGGATTATATTCTTTCCACCTTGAAATTACTTGCTTTATTTAGAAAACAATGAAAATATGAAGTGTTTTTATTCTTTTCATTTTTTTCAGGTGCTCATAAAATAACTCCTGAGAGCCTGCTTTTAAAGAATCCTCTTATTGTGCCTCTATTATGCCTTTTGTGCATGGTTTTAACTAATTTAGATTTTTTTTTACTAACATAAAGATTGACTTTGCTGCTGCTTTTTAAAAAAAAATAATCTAACCTTTAATTTATCAGGCTCGTTGTTAACTGGAATCAAGTCAGGATTTTTAAAAAGTGGTTCTTATTCAAACATGAATAAATTTGTAGAAGCTTCTAGTATGTCAGTAAAAGCTAAATAATTAATAGGATGTTATATCTTGCGGAAAAACCCAGGCCACTAAAATGTGTCTTTGGGTCTTCGTTTTTTGAAAAGTGCGAGGTTATATTCAGTCTAGTTTTTGGTTCCTTACACAAGTTCACATCTTCGATCAATAGTGGGAAAATGGCCTGTGTAGGCATAGCAGACTTCCCTGGAAAAATAGCCTCTTCTCTGAAATGGGAAGAATTTTTACAAATGGATTCTTTTCATATCTGCCAACCATGCTTTCCTTTATTTACCTTTCATTAGAAAAAGCTGGCTCAGAATTCCAATTGTGATAAAAGGATCCTCTGGAACTCCATAAACATTGCAGCCCTCTGGCTATAACAGCAGGGTGGAATGACTGTGCTGGGGACTGGTTTTCATTACATGCTGTTATCACACCACATGTAGAATAAGCAGGCCTCTGAAATAGGATTCAAATTATTTTCTCTCCACACATTCTGCTCTGCACGTTTTTATGGAATAATTGACTTAACTTTTACTAAAATAAAAATGTGACATCTTTAAAAGCACAGAGGGATAAGTAATTGTAATTATGAGAAAAGGTCAACAGTTCACAAATGCTTTTTAAGATGGTGTTCTTCGGCATTTACTATGTATGCACCACAGCTATTTTAAGCAGAAAATTCAGAGACAAGCAGAGGACTTAGCTCCCCTTTCCTTAAAGGTTTTCAGCCCATTAGATGGTTCTTTTAATGAACATGGTCAGTAACCTTCCCTCCAGGGTTCCTAGAAAGTCCTGCTCTTTGAATAAATTCCTGACACTTAAATACTCCACTCACCTTAAATACTGGAGCCCACCATCATATATTCGTGCATTTAAATGATTTCAGGGATCTCTGAATGTGGTATGTTCATTGGCCTAAAACTTCACACTGTTTTAGTTTTGTTTGTTTGTTTGTTTCCCAGTGGTACTGGGCACTGAACCCTGGACCTTCACACTGAGCTACATCCCTATCCCTTTATATTTTTATTTTGAGACAGGTTTTCATTAAGTCAGCGTATTGTACAGGCTGGGCTCAAACTTGCAGTCCTTCTGCCTCAGGCTCCCAGAGAGCTGGGATTATAGGCATACGCTACCATGGCCAACTCGTAGTTTTTGTATCCGTGTTGTCATACTTGACTGTCTCACTCAATTATTTCACTAGGGTTGGCAGACCAGGTAATATTTTTATTTATGGATGAAAACACTGATGTTCGCAAAGATCAAGTCACTTGCCCCAAGATATGTGACAGCGTCAGAACTGGAACAGAACTCAGCTCTTCCAATTCCTATTCCAGAGTTTTATACCTTATAGTATATTCTTCTCCTACTCAAGATGATAGGAGACAGACTCACTGAGATTGCAAATGACACCAAACTAAAGCAGGGGTGGTGACTTACATGCAATGCTGGACAAGGAAAAAAGTGATGGTGAACTGGAAAGAAGCCAAATTGGGTTAATCCCTTAGTTTTGCACTCTCAAATATATATCATGCCTGTAATTACTTATACAACTGTGGGAACAGGGAGTTCAACATCTAACCCAGGGCTTGGTCTGTAAAATTTATATATGTTTAATGAAGCTTATATCATGCTCAGTGAATGACTTTAAAGTATAAAGAAACAAAGCCTGAAAAGGGCCTTTTTTGGCAAAACAGGCACCAACCAATAGATCTCCAATTCCAAGGCTGAAGAAAAGAAAATAGACTTTTACTGAGATAAAAGGGGGCCAAGTGATTCTTAGAGTGAATCAAGTAGGTGGACAGGTGATCAGAGTTGTAAATCCCCGGGGTATTTTGAAGGTAGTAGTGTTATATGGGTATGGGTTGCTGTGGGAATGAATGCTCCAGGGGCAAGCTGAGTTCTAACAGTCTGAATACTCTATCATTGAACCCTTTTTGCTAGAAACATATAGATGTGCCTCTGAAGTCATCTCTTAGGTTGACAGGGTTAAGCAGACATGAGTGAATGAAAAAAGAAAGGTAGGTTTTCTCACAATGAGATGAACATGTAAAAGCAAACTTAGATTCTACATCTGTAGCTAACCTGTGTATTTACCACAGTTATCACCCACCCCCAGAAATGTATGTGTTCGGGGATGCTTGAATTCTGGAAACCAGATACTGGATATAAAGGGCAAGACTCACCCACTGAAACTTACATTTCAACTTTTTTGTTCATGTGATAAAAATGGCAGGAAACAAATATAAAAGACTTATTTACTCTGAAGTGTAGATTCAAAAGATCAAGATTCAACTAAAATTCTTCTCTAAAATTAAAAATTTCTCCTTGGAAGAATAGACCTGAATTGAGTGAAAAGCTCTGAATTCAACTATTGAATGGAGGGGCTCCTCTCTTGTTGGCCTTTGATGCTTATGTCCTGTTATGGATAGACCAAATTCAGGTGGTAGCCTTATTTCTGGGCAGTCTGAAGAATGGAGGCTTTTGGATCCAAAGCCTCAAGTTGTTTCACATATCTCCTAGTTCTACTCTTGACACATCATTAACCTTATCAGTAAAATAATCTGCACACAGCAGTCGAGAATAAAATGGGTTAATTCTTTCAGGACTAAAGATCCCAAAACTTGTAGGCAGTTTCCCAAGAGTTGGTACATTTTTATTTTTTCAAAAAGCCTAACCTATCCCCAAGAAGCAGTTTATAAATATTCTGTATAAAAATAAACATGAAATAGGCTTCATGAAACTCTATCATATTAGAATCTAGAATGTCCCAGTGTCTAAGCTGTCATTCTCAAATGGTTGTATTCTTGTTGGTATTGTGTCCCATTTTACTGAATAATTACAAAATCCACTTACCTTCAGGGAGAACAACCTTTCCCCCTAAAGATCAAAACCGTAGGTCCCTATGCATAGACATTTGAAAGAGATCAGAAATGCAAGAGGACAGATCCTGTGTTTCTAATTTCTTCTTAGTTTGATTTCAGTTAAATTTTATCTGCTGTATATCCATACTGTCCTTTCCCTGTAACGATGTCAAGGCCATGGTACAGATTTTTCTAAGGATCTTGGAGGAGAGGTTGGTAAAGGTCATTAAGACATTTGGCAGCTTTTTCTACATGTTACAAAAGGAATTTTAACAGATTTGTTAAGGAAAAATATAAGTAGGAAGAGCTGCTTTATGATGTAGTATCACTGAAGACGTCTACTGAGGGCTCAGCAGCCCTTTTCTGTATACACCTTCCAGGGGATAGCCTAGAGGTGAAGTTCTTATGTGATGTGTTCGATCTTATTAGGAAATACATCCATTTTATATTTTAGGTTACTTTAGAAAATCACTATAGCTTTCGTTTTTGTTATTATCAAAGTTTTTTGAAGCATATGTATGTATGAATTTAAGCCATGAGCCCCAAACACTTTTGTCTGGTATGGAACATAGCTGACATTTATTAAGGGGAAAACTTGATTTGCTTTCCAGACATTCAGTTCCAAACTAATTATTTCTAGAAATATATGTTCCCCACAGTAAGATACCAGAAGTTTATACATATTTGATTAAATAATATGGAATCAAATTATCAGTGTATATGTGATACCTCTTAGAGTTATATAAAGTTGAGTATTCTAACTTATTTTTGTAACATAATCCAAAACCCTGTTCTGTGTTCTGTCTTGTCTAGCTTTTCTGTCACTTAATTTTTTTTCTCTGTTCTTTAACATTTGTTAAGAATACAAAATTTATCCTGTCTACTCATCTTCCTCAAATACTTGTTTAAAATGTTCTTTTCACTTGTGTCCTTTGTTTTTACTTATATCATCTTTTACTTTACTGTGTTCAATACATGGTTTCTCACCTATCCATGTGCCATTAAAGATGCAGTATTAACAAATTGGCTTTCATAAGATGTCAATATTTGTGTTTATTTTGAAAATGTTAAAGCAGCCTTGTAAATATGTACTAAAACTATACTAGCCCATAAAAACTGTTTGTCTACTCAACTGGAATAGATGCTCGATGTTTGGTGTGCTCACCAATAACTAGGAGTTCTTTGTAAGAGGAAATAATGGCTTTCTTTTTTCCCACAACACTTAGTTACTGAGGAATGCTTTTGCACCCATATGCAGATTTTGGACCCATGAACAGCTGCAGTGTGGCACAGAGTTCTCCGTCTCCAGTCCATCTGCCTCTGCTGTAGGACTGAGAATGAGTCTCTCACTGCTCCCTACCCAAGTTTCCCTGTTTAACACATCCTATTCCTCCTGTGTTTGCTGCTATCAGTAAACATGCACAATTGCTGCTGTTGAATGCAGGTGCTGTATATACCTGGGACCCACTGCATCTCTACTGGCCTGATCCTATGTAATCTTTTCATAATGTTATCCTTCTCTTTCTTCCATTTCCCTATCAACCAACCCCTATAGAGTCGGGATATAAGCCCAGAAGAGATAGATTTAAAGAATGAACCTTGGTATAAATTCTTTTCGGAATTGGAGTTTGGGAAACCGGTAAGTTTAATAGCTTTAGCAGTTATACACCTTTATGAATAATGCTGTTGATGCATTGTTGGTGCTAAAGAATCAGATGGATGTGTAAGGAATTCAGTAAGTGAGGAGCAGTCATGTTGGTTGTCAAGAGCAGGACTATCTCATCTCACTCCAAACTGTGAGCTTTCCTTACATTACTTCAAGAAAACACGGTGTGTTCTGAAAGTGTATCTTACCAGAATATCTCAAAGAACACAGTTAAATCATTACTGGTCCTGGGACATTTACACCACCCACCCCATACACACACACTACTGACAATGACTTGTAGAAGGCATTATCTTTGCCACTGGTTCACCGCCTTAACCAAAGTCTTTATAGGATACTAAAAGTAAGGAGGAAAATGTATTACACACTAAAAAAACAGCACTGTTACTGCTTCAGAGAGCACACATCTGAGGCAAGTGTGAGAGCAATCCAAAAGGGGCCCCTTTGAGCTCACAACCTACAAGTGTAGCCCATTTTAAGCAACTTCTAGGGAATGATTTCTTTGAGTTAGGGCAGTATTTTCCAGAGTTTGGAATGAAGGTTGGGAATTCTAGCAGATTTAGCGTTCAAAGTAATGCTGTGTAGCTTCCTTGTAATAATATCTCTGAGTTGGCATTGGTGATAATTGACTTTGGCACTTAAAGGATGATTTTCTTAGCCCTCAACCAAAGGAGTATCAAATAGAAAGGAGAATTAAGCTCATCCTTACCCTCAAGCTGGTCCTGGCATTAAAATTCTACTTAATTTAAAGTCTGAATTATTACAACTGCAAAAAGAATTTACAGGTGGAGATAATCAGCATATGAAAATAAAATATTTTATTAGATATTTGTATGAAATGCTAAATATTGAATCCAACATTTGAATTATTGTCGTTTGACTTGATAGGTTCATTTGCAGACAGGAATTGACTTTATAGTTCAGTAAAATGTTAAATTTCACAGCATCACAGCATTCTGCTTGCAGAAATAGGTATTTCTCTCTTCTGATCCCTCCACGCATCTTCTTAAGGAGCCATCCTTGATGAAGAGTGCCACCTAGGGACAGTGGAGAGGAATGAGCCTAGTCCAAACGAAACCCTTCTCTCCCCATTCTGTAAAGTTTGGAGAACACCTATTTATTCTACTTTCTCTCCCTTTCTCCCCGCTACTGTTCACCATTTAAATGAAAGCTGCCTCACAATCTTTTCCATATGCAAATATTGAACAACAATATCTTTGCCATTTTCCTCTTTTTTCTTTTTCTCAAAACTTACTCCATTATCATAGGAAAAAAAGCTTCTTTTGACATATGTATTGTAGACTTCCACCCCATAATTTGGTATACTTAACAATGACAGCATAGTTTCATCAGGGAAAGCAAAAGCTTCTAGTAAAACAGTAAAATCTATTTAAATTATGTTTAGTAAAGAGTTCATGCCATTGATTTTTTAAGCCATTTAGAATCCCAAGTTTCATTTGCCAAATAACTGAACTAGTTTTATCTGAAATATCTTGTAGGAAAAATTATCATGATTTTTTTTCTAATTAACTGATTTGTTTTCCTAACTCTATCATAGGACACAATTTTGTTGATAATAAGCAGTATTTCAGTCCCATATACACAATTTAGACTCTGAGAGAGTGGCTTGGTAAATTAACGCTGTTTCTTTTGGAAACTATGGTCTGAGGACCATAAGCACCTCAAACATGTATTGAGAACACAGTCCATTTGTGTATTGAGATCTTCATCTTTAACCCTCTAAGTGCCCTTAATCATTGGAAGAATAAAACGTGGTTTCCTATGATGGCATTTTCTCTGAAGTCACTTGTTCCTTACCAAACTTCAGAGCCTGAATGTAACTGCTCCCTTTTGTGTAGGTCATCCTTTAAAATATAGTACTTTTGAAGACTTGCCAAAGATATCTTAATCAATGCCCGTATCCTGAGGAACAGCAATGAGATAAATAGGTCCTTATAGTTTGAGGCAGCCTAAAGGTGGGCTTATTATCTAGCTGAATGAACAGGTTTGGAGAAAGTGTGATAGGGAGATTTTTTCCCCCTCTCTTCCTTCCACTACCCCTGTGCACCACAAAAGTAAGCGACATGAATAACAGTGTGAATCCTAAAAGTTGATTTGGAAACATTTTCAGCCATTTAGAAGCAGTGGAAATTAAAACTCCTACTAAAGCTTGTGGATTATCATTTCTATTTTTAAAATTGTTGTTCACACCAACTCAGTTCCACTTTCAAGTAGAGCCTGCTACATCTTTGACACTAGACCTTTATGCTGGACTTCTTTCTTCCTCAACCCATTTACTTCAAGCCGCTCAAACTCAAAATTTCAGCAAGATCCTGGCTCAACAAGTTGTTAAAGAATAACAAATAATTCAAGACTCCAGGGACCACTTTAGAGATGATTACTTAAGACCAATTTAATTTGTAAACATTGTCTTTTTTGTTTTATTTTGTGGGGTTTTTTTTTTGCAATAAAGAAATAAATATGGTAATGTGTGTGACTTTAAAAAGTCTGCTTCCCAAATGAACTGTTAGAGATGAGTGATAAGTGCTAATGTCATTTACTTTACAAACTGTAGGATGTACATATTATGAAGATGATCGTACTGACCTGCTGTTATCTGTGGTGAACACACTTTGGAGTCAGATTACTTTGCTTTTGCAGATTCATTGCAGAGAATTTGAGGGTCAGCTTTTCTTCTCTTTTTATTCAGAGTTCTGCAGAAATTGGCAGGATTTTTGTATAAACTCAAGGCAAAATTTATCAATATAAACCAGTTTGAATGTTGCCATAGGGTCAGTTATAATGAAATTTACTTAGAATCTGAAGAGCTTTTAATGATATCCTCTTTCACATCTCCCCAGAAGTCATTATATAAAAATTTCAACTGTAAGTAGGCAGAACAAAAAAGTCCACTCAGTGGGAGAAAAGTTCCAAGGTTAGAAGTGTCTTAAGACTTTTGAATGTTCTTTGTACCAAACCTCTCCGTTGTTGAACCTACAACAATATTATAGCAGGTTTCCATCTTACAAATGTAGCTCTGATTCTAACATGAAAGGTTAAAAGAAAACAAACAAACAAACAAAAACCCCTCATAGTCTCCTGTTTAAATGTGAAGTTTAAACTCTGTTCTCTAGAAAGATGGAAGGTGTGTCTCTGTCGCTAGCAGTATTGTTAAAATCTAGTTAAACTGTAAAAGGAGGGTTAAAAACTATAAAATTGTCTAATGCATTAATGCCCCTTTTGTGCATGGATTTCCTTCTTACAGTCCACAGAAAACACATTTAGTTCAGTTTACCCACTATTGGCCAAACCTTTAGGTTCACAAATTTATTAACATGTAGTGAATTTTTTAGGTGGAGAAAACTGAAAAGTAGACTCCCTCGTGTCAATCCTAGTTTGAAAAGAACAGTGAGGAATTTGAAAGTTTCTAGTTTTGTTCAAAATCATATTAATGCTTCCCCCTTTTTTATATTTTCAGCATTTAGAGTCCAACAATGATTTATTTGCTCTTTAGACATAGACATAGAAACATATTTCCTGGCTAGTGTTTCCAGATGCTCCTGGGGCAAGCAGCCTTGTGTTCTAAAATAGAGTCCCCAGCCCTTTGCTTTGAGTTTGCCTCTCTGTGTTGGTACAGTTCTCCTAGTGTGCCCTTCTTTGTTTGAGCCAGCCTCCATGTTTGTCTTTATGTCTTTATGCTCATTTCTTCATTTCCTCCTCTGCTTCCCGTCAGCCTCCCAAAAAGATATGGGATTATACTCCAGGAGACTGCTCTATCCTTCCTAGAGAGGATAGAAAGGTAATTCCGCTGTGCCGCCTCTGTGGACTGTGTGTATGCTCTTTAGCTTGGTTAGTGTGAGTGTGTTTGTTTTCTTCTTTTTTTTTCTTGTCAGTTTTTTCATTAAACTTGGTAATTTATTTTTGGCTTGATAAAACTAACAAAGTCTCTTAAGACATATACTAATATTTAGATGTTTTTAAAATAATTACTTATTCTTCTGACATATAATATTTGTCACAGTCACCGTACTCTGAAAAAGGGGAAAATAGACCTTTCTATGAGGTAGGTTTTTGTAGTATTTGTTGGTTATCGCTCTGATACTTCAAGATTCCTATTGTACATACCTAATGTTGTATTCTCTGTTTTCACGTCTTAACTAATTTCTGGTGAGCTCTTGTGATTAAGTCATGCCATCTTGCCCTTACTAAAGTATAACACTTAAAAAAAACTCATTTTCAAACTTAACCTTCCATTTTTTCTATTTTTCCTCTAAACCTAAAACATTCTTTCTCATCTTTTCTTTCTTGAACCAGACTAACCTAGAAAAAGATCTCAACCTCTGCCAAACAGAGTTAGAGGCAGATTTAGAAAACATGGAGACGATTAATAAAGCAACCAGTTCAAACTTACCACAGGTATTTCCCAGTTTTTCTCATGCCATTGGTTTCTTTTCATGCTTTGCTTTTTTTTTCTTCTGTGTTCTCTGGTTTCTAATAGAGTTGAGGTGACAGCCAGTAATGCTAGTTATTTTAAACTGCATGGCTTTTCTGACTTCTGTTTTAGAGCCCACCCACTTCCTACCCCCATCCCCATCTCCACCCCTACTGAATTTTTATTTGGATTTGTTTTTGAATTTTTGCATCTTCCTTAAAGGGGATTTTTCAAATATATGCAGAGTGGCTGGCCATTTAAACTGTCCCCCTCCATTTCATGGTCTCTCTACCTGCTTTCAGTGAGTGACCCTTTTAAGTTCCTTTCTTTTACTTCTGTGTACCTTTTCTGAATTTTGAAGGAGCTATTTTTTTGAGAAATTTCCTTGTCTTTTTTGGTATCCCTGGAAGATACTAACCTCAAGAGCCATTTTCAAAAACAAAGCAGTAAACCAGATATACTGGTGCACATCTGTAACAGCAGTGACTTGAGAGGCTAAAGCAAGGATCACAAGTTCTAGAAGAGCTTGGGAAACTTAGTAAGAACCTGTCTCAAAATATAAAAAGGCTGGTGCCTGGTAGAGTACTTGCCTAGCATGTGTGAAGCCCTATATTGAATTCTCAGTACTGACCAAAAAAAGCACAGTAGGAGTGATTTGGGTACCTTTTCTGTGCAAGGCACTGTCAGAGCAATAGTACCAAGTGGTACCTTGGTTCACAAACTTAATTCTTTCAGTGATTCTGGTCTCAGAATTCATTCCATGATTCTAGTTGCAACTGAATTGCAAGAGAATCATGGAACGAATTCTGTGACCAGAATTGTGGAAAGAATTAAGTTCATGAACCAAGGTACCACTGTATTTATAGTTTTAAAGGTCAGAATATTATGAAAAACTCCAGAGGTCAGCCTGGACACAAGCAAATATTTGAGACTGAACTTGCATTGATATTGTTAAAGGGAGTTATGTTAAAATACAGAGTATTCAAAGTTGGTCCGAAGTAAATGGGTTTCCAAAGGGAAAGCCAATAATTTACAGAATTGCTCCCAGGGCTTCTGACAAAATTAAAGAGATTTTTTTGTGAGGAAAGGATATCTTTAGGGGGAAAAATAAAGGAATGTGGATTCTGCTCAAGAAACCAAGAAGATCCACAAACTATGGCAAGCAAAGTGGAAATTGTTAATAGATCTGTGTTATACATAAGCAGGAATAAGACAAAGGGTTAGTCAGACCACCAACCAGCATATGTAGATGGGATGGAGTACAAAGGGTCATGTGAGTGCCAGAGATTTAAACCAGGGAAAAGATGGAAAAACCAGGATATTATGGTTTTAGCCAAGTAGAGCTCTGATAAGAGAGCTGCAGGCCAGTCGGGACACTTCGGAGTTAGGGATCCAGAGCCACCAAAGAATGAGTGAGCCAGAAGGGGTAGTGGTCACGATCGTGGGGCTTATCCTTAGAACTTGAAGGAGGCATAAAAGGTGAGTCCATCATGTATGCAGTTAAGGCAGATAGGTGACTGGAGATTGGGGGAAGATTGGTAAAGGGGAGCTAAATTTCCAAACAGGGTGGAGATTCAAGCCCGGTAGAGCCACTGCCAGTTCAAGGTCCAATGTGAGAAGTGATCATAGCTAGTTTTGAAGTAAGAGCTGTGGCTTCAGGTAAGTACTAAAGTGGTTTGGGATGTGAAAGGGAAGTCTGTGGTAGGTTGGCAAAAACGAATCAGTAGGTACTTTTCAAAGTAGCCCAAAATAAGAGCATTTGTAACTTACACAAAGATGGAGACAGGCAAAGAACAATCAAATTAATTGCCTGCTTCAGAGACCCAGAGCTTGCCCAGGGCTCAGTGATCACAGCACAACAATGGATATATGAATTATCTTTACATTGGTTAACTGGTGCTTTATTAGTCCTGCACATGTATGAGAGGGGTTTGGAGGAGCCTTATACCAGGCAGCACAGAAAAGGAGACTTTACTTTCAGGACTGTGATGGTTCTGTCACACCTATAAGTCAAAGATTTCCAACGGTGGATGTAGTGTGTACTAAGAGGTAAGTGAGTGGTCTGGGCTCTAAGAGGCAGAAGAAAGATAAATCTTATGAGAAGGCAAGGAGTCAGCCAAGGTTTTAAAAGGTGGGTGGAACTTAGGTATATGGCCAGAGTATGGAGTATTTATTTGTGGTGCTAGGAAAGCATTGGAATACAGAAGAATACACATTTAAAGGATAAGATGAATTTTGCTGGAGTAAGAAATTTTGAGTGGGAATTAGTGGGAGGTAGGTTTGGGAAAGATAGTTGACCCTGGATTTTAGAGGCTTAGATCATATGACTAAGGAGATGATGTGTTTTGCCCTCAGACCAGTGATGTAATTCAGGAAATGTTTTAGGGAGAGTAGTATCATTGCCGTAGAGGCTGAAATGAAGGGAGAGGAAAACTCCAAGGAGGCTACAACAGTAGTTCATACATGTCATGATGAAGCCTTATTGTGATAGCACCAATGTGCAGGAAAGCAAAGGTAGAGAGAGATAACTAAGAAAATTGAAATAAGACATTTTAGCTAATTGATGTGAAGAACAAAGAATTGGGGGAAAGTATTAGACAGACAACTTTAGAGTTTGGGCCAGACAGCTGGAATAGTGAGGACATCAGTATGTTACATAAAGCCAAGAAGAAAATCAATGCAGTGTTAAGATCAGAGAGTTGGTTTCAGCTTTGACTTTTGAAGCGTTAGTTGAGCATCATGTAGGAAATACCCAGAAGATACTTGGAACTCTAAGACTAGGTCTTGCAAAGGAGTTGAAGACTTAAAAAACCAATTGTAGCTACCTGAAAAGAGGTAGGAATAGATGAAGCCACTCAACTTGGGAGTAGTTGAAACACTGAATAAGAGGGAGTCATATTAAGAAAAAGGAAGGGAGATCGTCACTTACCCATTGGGATGTTGGGTGTCATAGAACATGAGAAGGGGAGAGTTACAGAAAGGACAGTTCAGAGAGGTGGGGGAAATAAATAAAAGAGCAGGAGGAGAAAGTATGAGAACTACCCAAGTGCTCTAGAGAGGTCCAAAAAAGAAGGGCTCCCCGGAAGGTTTATGGATTTGATTTATAGATTTATAAAAACTGTGGAGGTTGCAGGGTGACTACTTGATGGAAATTAAAGTACATGGCTAAGAATCAGAGAATCCTACAGGAATATAGCACTGATTGAAAAGATTTGATCATGAAAAGAAAGAAGGGAGGGAGCGGGGGAAGGAGAAAGAAGACATTCCTAAAGGACTTCACAGGGTCATGCCAATTTTTTTCCATGGTGGAGACCAAAGAAAGGCCTTCAAAGATGGAAGATCAAAATGGGACAAGTGCTAAGAGGTAGGAGACTCAAGAAGGAGAGAGGATGGGCAAGCAAGACCAGTGGAAACAGAAAGTCTGGAGGGTGAATTTGGAGATAAGAACACATGACCTCTCTGAGAAGTGGGTGAGGTAGGGTCATTATCTGGGGACAGAGTTCTCAAAGATGTAAAGACCCAAACCCACAATTTGGAAGGTGGGTATTTCAGCAGGAAGTCAAGGTTAGCCCTCCCCCTTGGCATCTCCTTTTCCCTCTTTCATTATCTCTTCCTTTTCTTTTTATTTCCTTTCCCTAAATGTTTCTTCTCCAGAGAGCTTGTTTTCCTTTAAATGCTCGTTATTAGATATAGGGTCATTATTACGGGTATCTTCAAAAGTTAATTTTTACATTGATTTATTCATCACAGATATATCAAACCCCTTACGTTTTTCTTTCCAAGAACTGTAAACTACATAATTATGTTGCTATTTTCTGCATGTAGCTCTTGGTGTTTTTCTTTTCCCCTTGTGTTGTGGCCTATAGTTTTATAAAGCATTTCTCCATTCTTGCTGAAATGGTTATTAGTAGGATTTAAGAAATTGCATCTCTTCCCATTTCTACACTTCTTAAACTGCATAAACAAATTATGTAAATACAGTACTATCTTTAAAATGTACCTTTGTGCATTCTTTAAATTGTTGTGTGACTGTCTCCGGATGTGGCTTTGGGGCACAGGAAAGGTTCTGCGGTGAGCCCAGCATGGAGATCTGAGGCCTGGAGAAATGCTGGTGAAAAGTGTGCTGTCCATGTGACTGCTGCATTTTAGCTCATGGGAGTAGGGGTGGTGGTGATGCACCGTCCTGGGAGCCTTCAGCTAAAGATAAATGTGAATCAGGCCACGTGCCGACCCCCTCAGAGAAACAGGGCTGAATTTACTGAAAGGTGAAAGACCAGAGCACGAGAAAGCCTGCTGCCCTGAAATCCTTTCCTCCCCCAAAAGAGCACTACCTTCCACCTGGAAGCCTTCCACCCAAGCCCTCTGTCCCCCAGGGGTCTTTATCTAAATGAAGATAGGAAAGTGGCTTATCTCTTTTTCTGTTGACTTGAAACTTCAAAGTAAAAATAAATCATCTGCTTTTTTTTTTTTTTTTT